GCTTATATGAGTGTCACAGCAAAGGGTCTGAATACTTATGACCATGTGATATTTCAGTTTTTCTTTTTTAATAAATCTGCAAAAATGTCAAAAATTCTGTGTTTTTCTGTCAATATGGGGTGCTGTGTGTACATTAATGAGGAAAAAAATGAACTTAAATGATTTTAGTATATGGCTGCAATATAACAAAGAGTGAAAAATTTAAGGGGGTCTGAATACTTTCCATACCCACTGTATTTGTCATGGTGTGACTGGTCACACTGAAGGAACAATTCATCATATCATATCATAATGATTTAATGACAGCATCGTCCTTTAAAAGCTCCCATCTGTAGGCAAGATAAAAATCTTTCGGCCAGGGGACCCCTAAACGTAATATCAAGATAAAGACCATGGTGGACAGCAATTGTCCTGCCCTCTATGGACAGGTATTATTGCCTCATTGTTGTGGTCAACCACATTTATTTTGAGGTTCATGGGAAGTTGACCTTAGGCCAGGAAGTAGTAGTTCATCCTGACAGCATGAAGTAGCTGCCATTCGCTGCAAAGCTCAAGTTGAAATCGTTCCACAGAGCAAAGAAATATATGCCTGTAAGTTTATTGTTTATGTCAGTTTATTGGTGTTATATGTGCTCTATTTACGAACAAATGTGTATTTGTATAGAACAGAATACCGCGACTGTCAAGTTAATTCAAGCTAGTGCGTCTATGTGTTTTTCTATTGTAGGTTAGCAGTAAGCTAGCGCAATGTGTATTTGCTATTTTATAGAAAACAGACATGTTTTCTTGTTGCAACTCAAGCATCTAATGTGTTTGCTTGTACTTGTTATGTGTTTGCAGTTTTCCAAATTGGATGCAGTGAACGAGGTTTCAAGCCACAAATCTTTGCCTTCGGTTTTGGACTGTTTATCTACCTGCCACAATAGACATGGACGTTTAAGGAGGGCAGAATAGCAATGGTCACCAGTAGTTTGCAATCTGGAGAGGAGAAACTGTCTGACCAAAACAGCCACTACTCCAAGACAAGAATTAGTTTTGATTGTAAAAATTAACAAGATAAACTGCCCCATAGCTAAAATTAATTTATGATGCAGCAAGTACTTATTTTTTTGAGGAACATGGTGTCCAAAATCTCAAGTAATTGAAATGGCCTTCATTTTGTTCTGCTATTCTCTGACAAACTAATCAAAGACCAGACCAAACCAGAACAAGACCATCCCCATCTGAACTGAGCTGAGTTACAGGAGACAAAGCAACACACCACATCAACTGTTTCATTACCTGGTTGCCCCCCATTCTGTGGCATGGTCCTATTTCCACGCTGCCTCCATTGGTGTGCCCCATACTGTCAATACAGTAACTTGTCTCAAAGCCCCGAATCTGCACACATATGCACAGGTTACACACACAAATTTTGTGGCACAGGTTATTTCACAGAAAAATTAAACCTGCTTATTTCTAACAAACCATGAGAGAAACAGTAACTGAACATGCTGCATGTGTGTTCTTACCTCTCCCCATTCTACATTTTTAGCAGGCAGAGGGTAGTGCAATGGAATGTCATACGCTATTTCCTCCATGAACCATTTGAAGCTCTTACATCGATGTTCCTCTCTGATAAAAGATTTGGCCAACAAACAGCAAACAATAAATTTGCAACTGTATACCTTAGTTTGACTGAGAGCTAATATTAAATGAATATAGTCATTTCATAATCACTTCTAAAAATAAAATATATGGTATGAACTTTCATCTTATGACAGTGTGTCCAAGTTGAGTTTAAGGTTAAATACACCTTTTTAAATATTAGACAGAACAAAATATACACAATGACAAATTTCACAGCTGACAACCAATAAAACAAAAAGAACAACTATTAACATCTGCACGTGTGTACATTTCTTTGTGAATCATCTAAATGGATAGGCAGGACACTATCCTAAGCCATTAAAAAACCTAAGTTTAGATACTTACAAGTCTTCTATTTCTTTACAGTGTGCTTAAGGTACATTCTCTTTATTGCAGAAATAAAACATTTCCTGTAATGCACCTATGCACTGTACAACAATAACCTTTTACATTTATTCCTTGTCACATTAAACAGGATGGGGTGAATAAACTCTTATATTCTTATTGGTTGGTTTATACATGTGGGTTGTAGCAGCCATCCTACTGTGTAGATTTGGTGCTAGATTTTTGTGACTGTCAGTCTGGAAATAAACTGATGTTGGCTGTCAAAACTCTAAATCAGCTATCTCTAGACATTTCTTTCTGTCCTTTGTCAGCTTGTGTCTGGGACAGTCTATTAAAAGTGTAGAAGGGCCTTTAGGTGGGTAATTGGGAGTAAAATGAAAATGTGAAAGTGTGATTGAGTCAAAGTCTGAATATCTATTAGGAATAAACAACAGTTGTGCAAATTTTATTGAATCTATGTTATACCTGAAGCGTTTAAGCTCACTGATGTCTCCATAGGCTAGAGTGCGAGTCTCAGGACGACTAGCGTAGAAGTAGTCCTTAAATTCATCCCACCATACCTCCACCACACGAACATAGTTCTGTACATGCACACAGACAGAAATATATTATACTTCACATGATACTGTATGTAATATAATGTTGCATTCAAAGTCATAATATACTAATGATTTTCACTACTGTAAAAATAATTTAGTAGGTCTAATTACAGTAAGTGTTGGGAAAATCAGACATGTGACTGTACACCTAATTAGTGGTACATTGCTTCAAAAATTACACACTTCAGACCAAATTAATAAACTATGTGTATTCAAAAACAGTGCATTTGCATCTTCCCACATATAAATCGTATTTATTTAGAAGAACACATGCAGTGCAAATGTCACACAGTCTTTACACAGACTACTGACTGTGCACATTAGGGCTGGATGATATAAAAATATATACATTGTAATATAAAATTTAAACAATAAGAAAATGACAGCCTTTAATAAACTGGATAAAGGACACTGCTTGATAGCACACATCAACTTATCACATCACAGGAATGGAGGCGATTCTAACCAATCGAAAGGTAGTTGTTTTAAGAACAAACGTCCACCAAACACACAGCAACGCTGGCTTAGTTAGAGGAACTCAGCATGCAGCACATGCTACTGTTGTGGTCCCCCATGATGCTCTGAGTTTCAGTTCTCTCCTCTCCTCCCCTCTCCTTTCCTCTCTCTCCATGCATCTATAGACCTACAGTACATGTCTTTAACTGTGCGTCTCCTCTCTTCCGTAGTGTGTCCTCTCTCTCTCTCCCTGTACCTTTCTGCAGGTAGCCCTGGCACTGGAGCTCTACATTTCTGTTGCGCAGTCACTGGCCACATCAACCTGTCCAGTGTTTAATTGTTGTTGTGTTTGCTGTGTCTTGTTTTTTTGTTTGTTTTTTATATTGAAACAAATAACACATTAACAAAACAGGTCAGGACATGGAAGATGTAGAGGGTTTCACATGATTGTAGTGTGTGAGGGTGTGAAGTGTGGGTATTTCCAACTTATGCCGTCTATGAAGGGAAAGAAAGGAAGAAGTAGAAAAAAATACAACAATAATAATGATGAGTACTACTAATAAAAGCAGCTTGTTACATTTTTAGACGTTTGTGGGAATGTGCGTGGCCTCAGCCCCAGGTGCTTAGTTCAAGTTGAAATGTGTTAAAAATGGGTTCCATTTGTCATTAAAAGCTGATAAACTATTCTTGTGAGTGGATGCCATTTTCTCTAGTGTGATGTACTCTCAAGGTTGGTCCAGTGGTTTATATGTAGAGATTTTTTTTGTTTTCCAGTTCTGAAAGATTGTTGTCTTGGCAATAGCTAGAGAAATAAGGAGTCGGTCTTTGTATTGAATTGGTAGGTGGTCAACTTCTGCGAGATCCCCCTGAGCAAGCAAAGTGATGGAGGAGGAGGGATTCTACAGCCACAGAGTTTCTCTGTCACTGCTATCCAGAGGGAATGAACTAGTTGGCAGGTCCAAGTAGCATGAAAATAATTGTTGGTGCAACCTAGAGTGCATTGTGAACAGATGTCTGTGTCGGTGAAACCCATTTTGAACATTTTACTTTGTGTAATATGGGTCCTGTAGATGGTCTTGTTTTGTATAAGTTGTAAGTTTACATTGCTGGTCACAGAAAAGATGTTATTACAAATTTCTGTCCAGAAGTCGGAGTTGAGGGAGAGAGTAAAATCGTTTTCCCATTTGAGTTTTGGTATTGTTATTGTTGAATCTGTACTTGATATGAGTTCATATAGCTTGGATAATATTTTCTTGGAATCATTAATTTTCATAATTTCTTCAAATAATTTGGAAGGCTGTAGTGGGTTACTGGTTACACTAATCTTTGACTTAATTGTGGATTTTAGTTGATTGCACTGGAGGAACTGTTCTCTCTGAACTCCGTACTTCTGGATCAGTGTATTAAATGATATGAACTGGTTAATTTCAAATAGGTGATATAAGTGAGTGATTCTTTTATGTTGCCATGTTGGGAAATGGATAAGGTTATGTAGTTGAAAGCCAGAGTGTGCCAAATTGGAGTGTATCTACATGGTGCAAGTGATGTAGTGATTTTGTTTGCTTTCTACCAGGCTGTCAGAGTTGAGAAAATTGTGATGTTCTCACAGTAATTCATTTTCTTAATATAGTTCGGTAGGAAGGCAACTGAGTTATTTTTGCAGTAATTTTGCTCTAATTCTATCCATGCACTGTTGTAGCTGTCCTTCTGAATCCATTTGACTAAATATAAGGATAATCACCTTTATTGGCCAAGTATGTTACACACAAGAAATTTGTTTCCGGTACAGATCCGAGGCAGCCATCTGCGGTGCCAGCTCAACCGATGGCTCTAACCATCGGGGGCAACAACAACAAATATTGTAGCTGAATATATTGTAGCTGATTTACCAAGTAGTAATATTGGAAATCACTAGGCCACCTAGTGATTTCTTCTTTGAAGTGTAGATAGGGAAATTTTGGGTTTCTTGTTTTGCGTTTGCTGTGTCTTGTTGCTTTTCTCTTCTTTTCTCTCTCCTCTATCCACTCACCCCAACCAGTTGAGGCAGGAGGTCACCCACCAAGAGCTGGGGTCTGTCGGAGGTTTCTTCCGTTAAAGGGAGTTTTTCCTCCCCGCTGTCTCCAAGCACTGCTCAAGGAGGATTTGTTGGGTTTTCCTCTATGATAACAACAGTAATAATAATAATAACATTTATCTTATGGATCCGTTCCTTTCATACCGTTCATTTTTTGCTTTTTTCAAATACATCTGTGGTGTAATTAAGTGCTGAAAGTGCATCCAGTTTTAGGTCTGTGAATCTGTCAGTTTGACTGCATAGATAGCTGTAGCAGCAGCAGTACTCAACTATACTCATGATAAGTTTGACATAACATTCCACTTCTGGGTCAAGACTTCCCAAGACCCAAACAGCGGAGCTTGTCACCCTCTACACAATAGCATCACGGAGAGGAAAAAAAACAAAACAAACCAAAACACAACAATTGTTAAGATTCAAATACAGGTGCTGGTCATATAATTAGAATATCATCAAAAAGTTGATTTATTTCACTAATTCCATTCAAAAAGTGAAACTTGTATATTATATTCATTCATTACACACAGACTGATATATTTCTTTTAATTGTGATGATTATAACTGACAACCAATGAAAACCCCAAATTCGGTATCTCAGAAAAATAGAATATTACTGAATACCAATACAAAGAAAGGATTTTTAGAAATCTTGGCCAACTGAAAAGTATGAACATGAAAAGTATGAGCATGTACAGCACTCAATACTTAGTTGGGGCTCCTTTTGCCTGAATTACTGCAGCAATGCGGCGTGGCATGGAGTCGATCAGTCTGTGGCACTGCTCAGGTGTTACGAGAGCCCAGGTTGCTCTGATAGTGGCCTTCAGCTCTTCTGCATTGTTGGGTCTGGCATATCGCATCTTCCTCTTCACAATACCCCATAGATTTTCTATGGGGTTAAGGTCAGGCGAGTTTGCTGGCCAATTAAGAACAGGGATACCATGGTCCTTAAACCAGGTACTGGTAGCTTTGGCACTGTGTGCAGGTGCCAAGTCCTGTTGGAAAATGAAATCTGCATCTCCATAAAGTTGGTCAGCAGCAGGAAGCATGAAGTGCTCTAAAACTTCCTGGTATACAGCTGCATTGACCTTGGACCTCAGAAAACACAGTGGCCCAACACCAGCAGATGACATGGCACCCCAAACCATCACTGACTGTGGAAACTTTACACTGGACCTCAAGCAACGTGGATTCTGTGCCTCTCCTCTCTTCCTCCAGACTCTGGGACCCTGATTTCCAAAGGTAATGCAAAATTTACTTTCATCAGAGAACATGACTTTGGACCACTCAGCAGCAGTCCAGTCCTTTTTGTCTTTAGCCCAGGTGAGACGCTTCTGACGCTGTCTGTTGTTCAAGAGTGGCTTGACACAAGGAATGCGACAGCTGAAACCCATGTCTTTCATACGTCTGTGCGTAGTGGTTCTGGAAGCACTGACTCCAGCTGCAGTCCACTCTTTGTGAATCTCCCCCACATTTTTGAATCGGTTTTGTTTCACAATCCTCTCCAGGGTGCGGTTATCCCTTTTGCTTGTACACTTTTTTCTACCACATCTTTTCCTTCCCTTCGCCTCTCTATTAATGTGCTTGCACGCAGGGCTCTGGGAACAGCTAGCCTCTTCTGCAATGACCTTTTGTGTCTTGCCCTCCTTGTGCAAGGTGTCAATGGTGGTAAATATACATTGTACAGATTATACTGATCTGTACAGGTCTCTATTTTTATTTTCTAAGTACTCCATTTTTATTCTATTTTTATTTCATCTCCTAATGAACATTCCATTGTCTGTTTGCATTGTTTATTGCCTGTTTATACTGCTTATTTTACATTTTTTGCATTGTTTATTGCTTGTTTACACTGTTTCTTTTGTTATACTATACAGACTTTTGTTGTTATATTGTTTACTTGCCCCTTGCTGTTGCCTTGCATGGGGATATGTACATGTACATTGAGAAATGCTGTACCACAGTTAAATTCCTCATGTCCAACATACCTGGCCAATAAAGCTGATTCTGATTCACAAAAGGATGCTGCCAGTTGAATGCAAGAAATGTGGAGGAAATGCGAAAGATTGCTCTCCACTGAATCCATGCTAAAAGGGTGACTGGCACTATTTGCATTAAGTACACCATATTAACAGCAAATGTACTTCTATGTGAGGGTGAGGACATGACATTCCTTGATAAGATTGTCAATGTGCACTGCGTTCTGACAAATGTGCCACAGTGTGGCTGTGAAACACAAGTAGTTCTATAATACAGATTAATAATCACATTTTGTTCTTGTAGTGGTTAAAAATAAACAAGGTTCCAGAGGGAATATGTAATAGAACATTATGTAGTTCATATATAAATATTATTTGCAATAGTTGTGTAAGGCTGAGCTAAGTGTGTACGGAAGCTTGATCTGTTTCTTGCGCAGGCAAGAATATCTTGGGCTGTGTCCCCCTTGTTTAACCTA